TCCTGGTGCCGATGATGTCATAGAAGAAGGTTGGAATGCTCAAAACTCCCATTCACATGTGAGGTATTCTCTGCATCCTTTTAGTGAATTCTGGCCAGTCTAAGATTTGTGGTAGATTGAGCTTTTGGACTACAGGTGCATTTAGAGCTAGCCTTCTGGCCTGTCCCAGGCCAGAGGAAGTTCCTGGAATTAATTTCCCAAGAAATGGGAATGACTTACCTCTAAGAACACTACTGCTTTCATTAGCCAGGTATAGGCCCTGAACTGCTTGTGGGCCTGTATGGTACCAAAAGCTGCCAAAGTCTTCCTCCAGCATCAGGTAAATGCTGGGCTGGATCCCTTTTCTCATGAGAGTGACAAAGAACCATAGAATCTTAAATTTAGAACTGGAAGGGGCTTAGAGGCCTCCCTTCATTTTACAGATGAAGCAGTAAACTGACCCCCACCCAAAGAAGCTACATGATTTGCCCAGTCACATAGGTAGTAAGTGTGCCCCTGTACTTAGGAGCAACAGGTAGAGTTGCAAGAAGATAAATTTAGGCTTGATAGCAAGAAATTTCCTAACAATTGGAGCTCAGCATAAGTGTAATAGGCTGCCTGAGGAGATAGTACATTCTCCGAGTAAAGTTAGGAACACTGTCATGGGGATTCCTTTGCAGATATGGACTGGGCTGGATGGCCTCTGGAGTGCCTTCCATTTCCAAAATTCTCTGATTCTGGACTTTGAAGATACCCTTTAGCTCCAAGTCGCTGATCCCACGATGCCTTTCCATCATCAAAATGTACCTGCCAGATAAAGGAATCTGCTATTCTGTGTGCATGTGCATTTTCTTTTCTAGGTAATATGTGTTTTAACAGATTCCTTAATCCTAAGAAACAATTTCTATAGGTAGAGTTTAAGTTCCCCCAGACCTATCAGGGAGTCTGGGAGTCACCTCCTGTTCTTGTCAAGCCAAGCCCAGAAAAAAGCTAGAATGAAAGAAGACTCAGACCTGCTGGATGTCTTTGAGGCTTATGCTTAAATTCACTTTGTCCCTCTTTTAAGTAATAAGTAAAGAATTTGATTGAGTTGTTACATACTCTGATTTCAGACCTCTTGCTAAGAACCCTAAATCCTCACGGTTAAAAATTTTTTAAAGCTAAAACAAAAAGCCACGTATTTCATTCCCCCATACCCCGAAAGTGTTGGAATGGATGGAGCTTTTCTTTTTTGCCTAAAAAAATGGCTATTTGCTGGGGGAAAGAGCTTCAGGGGAGAGAATGTGCAGTTTTTAAAAAACTTTTCCATCTGACATCAGAGGGAAAGAGTAGGGACCAGGAAGTCTGGTGTTGCTGGGCCCCAGGCCTATAGAGTCAGTGCTCAGGGAAGCTCTCACTACAAGGAACCCCTCAGCTGGCTTAGGATCTCAGCTGTAGAAAAGGCAGGGGATCATTTGATGCTGAAATAATCAAGCATAATTTTGACACCATACCCTGTTATATCAACTCCAGGAGAGGTTCTCCCTTCTTTGAATTTTCTGTATTGGTGAGAAACAAGTAACAAAACATATAATCTGAAGGACATGAGTACATATGGGGTGGGAGGTGGGGAGGGTGGACAGGAAGGAGAAGATGGAGGCAGCTTTACCTCCATTGCCTTATGATGGAGACAAGTGTGTTACAGATTGATTTCCTCAGATCACCAACAGTATCCTATGCATCCAAGCTTTTTCTCCACCCTTCTCTCCCAAGTTACAACCCAGCCAACAGATTACAACAAGATGGTGAGTGTATCCAGATTTTTTTGTTCTCTGGAGATGGCCCCCTATATAGACTTTCTGAGTTGTAAAGTACTTCAAAGGCCATCCAGAAAAATCCATACGTGACTAAGAATCCCCCCTATATACCTAAGAAAGAGCCATTCAACCTTTGCTTACCTTTGAGGATTTCTTCTACTTTCCAATAGGTCTAATGGTTGCTTGAGACTGGAAATTTTACTACTCAGATGACCCCCAAAGGAATGGCTTACGGGGAGAAGATACCAGGGTCTGATATTGAGCTGGAGACAAGACTAGGGAATATGTTTATCTTACCTCCTTTTCTCTTCATCTCCATGACTCACTTCCCTGCTGTATTTCTGGAGTCTATGTATTTCCAGCCAAGCTTTTGGAGTATAATGTGGGGATAAAGATTAGAGCAGAGTTGAGATGGAGAGAAACGGTGTAGGCAGCTAGATGGCACAGCAGATAGAGCTCTGGGCCTGGAGTCAGAAAGCCCTGAGTTCCAATCCAGCCTTAGACACCTACTAGTTTGACAGGAGTGACTTGTCCAGAGTCACACAGCTATTAAGTGTTATGAGTCCAAATTTGAACTCAGGTCTTCCTGATTCCAGGCCCTGAGCTCTATCCACTACACTACCTAGCTGCTCCAAGAGAATAGACATCCTTTTTTAGCCACCTCTGGAGAATAAACACTCTTTTCCACAGGGGACAAATGAAAGAAGTGTCTATCTGTTCTGAATTTCAGGAGGTGAATAGCAATCAATTGACAAGCATTTATTAAGTGCCTACTAAGATCCCTGAATGAAGTGAGGTGTCTACTTATAGCATGGCTCATATCATGCCAGGGGAGACAATATGTACATATAGAAGTATGTGTCAATAAAAAAATTACCAAGGTAATTGGGGAGAGGGAGAAGCAAGAGCATCTCGGGAAGGAATCAGCAAAGGCTTCATATAGAAAGTGGTTCTTGAGCAGAGCCTTGAAGGAAATTAGGGATTGTGTGTGTCAGAGAGGGGTAGAGAGTCCATTCCAGGTATGGGGGACAGCCTAAGCAAAGGTATAGAAATGGGAGACTAAATATCCCAGTTTGGCTGGACCCAGAGTATGTGGAAGAGTAAACTTTAATAGGTTGGCTGGAACCAGTTCCTCCTCCACTCCTAGTAGAGGACTCTGTACATAGCACACACTTGATAAGTGTTGCATGAGGATAAAGGATCTGTTGTGCGACAATAAAGGATCCAGTGAAAATATAAAAATAAAATACAATATTCTCATACTAGCCTGGAGGCTGTTCTTACCTTACCCTTCCTTGGTGGAAGGGGCTGGGTTGGGGGGGGAGGTGTTTGGACTTGGACTCATTGGACAAGTCTTGAATCTTGACTCTTCCACTTACTGTGTGACTCTGCCCTGGATCCTCAGTAAAAAAGAGGAGATTTGATTAAAATATACCTCTAACTTCCTTTTCAGCTCTAGGGCTGTCATCCTCTGATTATGTTTCTACTAAAAAGTGGGAAAACATACTGTAAGAAATGAGGCTGCCCACCTCAGCAAATAAGAATGTAAGCTTTTTGAAGGTAGGGACTAAATGGTTCCCTTCTGACTTCATAGCCCTAGGGCAAATTAGATGTTTTGGGAAAGAGAACAGGCATTTGTTAATCACTCTCCTATGTGCCGGGCACTGTGCTAAGCACTTTGCAAATATTATCTTATTTGATCCTCACCACAACCCTGGGTGGTGGGTGCTACTATTATCCCCATTTTACAGATGAGAAAACTAAAGTAGACAACAGAGGTCAAGTGATTTGCTTGGGATCACACACCCAATAAGTGTGTGAAGCCAAGGTTTTCCTCCCCTACCTGCCTCTCTGTAATTAATGGTTGTTGATTGCTTACTCCGACTTTGGCATCTTCCTTCTGGCCCTCACCCTCTACCCTTGAAGCCCCTTTTCCTGTGGGTGAGTTCTTCTGAGGACTTCCATTTTAAGGAAGGGTATGGACCAGATATTATTCATACTCAGAATTGCCTCACTCTCAACCAGTGCACCTCAACACCTTATCCCACTCTCTTTCTACCTCCACTCTCTTTTTTTCCCACTTCTCTTTCCTGTGTTCTCTTCTCCCATTAGAATGTAAGCTCCTTGGGGTAAAGGCTGCCTTTTTCAGAGGAGCTTGTATCTGTACCTCCTGGGCTTAGTACATAACAAGTGCTTAATAAATTATTGTTGACTTGATTAATTAATAGGAAAAACTGTTACCCCATCATAAAAATGAGAATGTAATCTTCCAAAAGGCAGGAAATGTTTCACTTTTTTCTTTTGTGTTCCAAATAACTGAAACAGACTAAGGATTTTAATGAATGACTGTTGATTGATGACTTGGTTCATACTTTAGCCCATAAACTCACCCTGCCTCCTCCTCAGCTTTTTGTGGTTGTTGAGGTTTTAAGAATAAAGACTACTTCCAAGAAGTCAAATCCTCCAACTGAACAATAATGGAATTCAAATTCTCTCCTTAATCTTATACCAAGATCTATCCATCCATTATTCCTTCCTTTCTTCCTTTCTGTCATCCATCCATCTATCAATCATCCATCCATCTATCTGTCTGTCTGTCTGTCTGTCTATCATTCCAGGCCTATTGCTGGCCCAGCAATCCACTAACTACAAGAAGCAATGCTGACTATGGGGCTTCCACCGGTCTGAGCACCTGAGCATTGATTGGGGTAAACATTCTTTGTTTTGAAAGGATTTGTAGAAGGATTTTTAATTGGCTTGCCTTTTTTATCCGACTCTTCCCGCCCTTTGTTTTTAAATTGGCCTATAAATGCCGATCCCCACAGAGATTAAGCCCTGAAAAGAACCGCATACCTTCTTTAGAAGGAACTTTCAGGGGCCCAGAGAGGGACTCTGGGTGGCCACAAAGCACCCAGAGCCTCTAGAATTGTGAGTGGCCTGGACTCAGATTCACATCTCCTCTAGTCGGGCTTATGCATGGAATGAGAAGGGCCACTGGTGTCCGAGAACTGATAGGGTGAGAGCAGGTGGGCAGTTTTCACCCGGCTGCCAGCCCGCTCTGCTGAGCCGAGCCCTACCCTGCTCTGCTCTGCCCTGCCCTGCCCTGTCTGGGAAGCGTGGCTGGATCACTGCGCAGACGGCAGGTAGGCTGTGTCCTGGTGGGCTGGCCAGGTGCAGGATTGGAATGTGGAGTGTGCGCTGACAGCAGCAGGAGTTGCTGCAGCAGCCGTATCTTTGCGCAACACCTTCCTCTATATATACCCGGGGCTCGGGAATACCTGGTGGAGTCATTCCTTTAGTTCTTTGGCCCAGGAGGAAAAAAGGACTGGTGAGTACAGGCAACTCTGAAACTAGGACAGAGACTCTTATTTAAAAGTCACTCAAAAGTTTGTTTCCACTCCTCTTTTTCTCCAGACAGCTCTGGCTCGTAGAAAGCTACTGAGGGTGGAGGATGTATTGGCCGTCCTTATAGCATTTCTGGGACGTACTAAGGGAGGTTTTTTTTTTTTAAGTTCAAACTTTGTCACTAGGTTTCTGCTTTTTATTTATCTTTAGGTCCTGAGATTGAAGTAGGGACTCTTGAGATCCAAATGATGCTTCTGTCTGCTGTCCATTAGACAGACTGTGCTCACAGCACAGTGCCTATAAGGATTTCAAAGTGTTACCTGCTGGAAAAGGAGCCTAAAAGTGCTTGTGGGGAAGGGTGGCTAGCTGCCTGTTACCCTGGAAGGAGGGTTTTCTCTGAGTTGAAGAACAGAGGGTTAGACAGCTGTCACTTTTCAGCGGCTACAGGACAATGATGTGGGCCAAGTAGTCAAGCTTGTGGGGATGCAGTTTTTGTAGAAGAATATGCGTGTTTTAAGTGTTGATCCACTTAGATGTCAGAAGAGTGCAGCATCTTCTGGGAGTTTATCCTAGTTTCAAAAGGTGAGGACAGTAGGCTAATTTATGCCGACGCAGAGAAAGTAATCCAAAAGCTTAAGGCAGTGTTGATGTCAAGGATGGCCAGAGGGAGTAGGAAGTTAGGAGTATTGAGAGGGCTGGCTTTGGAAGCAGAGGACCTGCTCCTTCCCATTTGGGAGACACTGGACCTCCACCTGGAACAGCCTCTGTTCTCTCATCTGTAAAATGCTAATATTGAACTAGGTGATCTTTAAGGTTCCTTTCTTTAGATCACTGCTGCTGGACTGGAGATCTGGGATCAAATCCTGGATACCAGTCTTGGTTGAGTGACCTCTCACCCGTCTAAGCCTTAGCTTCCCCCTCTGTAAAATGGGGATAATATTGTGGTGAAAATATTTTGCAAACTCTGTAAGTTCTATAGAGATCATAAACTTAAGAGCTGGAAGGGCTTTGAGAGGCCAGCATCTAGTCCAAACCTTTCACTTTACAGATGTGGAAACTGCCAGAGAGGTTCTGGTAATCTGCTGCACAGGTAGTGTAGAGTCTGGATTTGAACTCAGCTTGGGTGGTTCCTTAGCTAGTGTTCTTTCTGCTGTTGAAGTGACTTTACCTGCTTGCATCCCATCTTCCATTTAAATTTTTTAAAAAATCATTTCTGCTCCCTGATATTTTGCAGGCTGATCTAGTTAGTAGTATATTGGGTTAGCTGTGTATTTGTTCATTGCCTAATGCCCTCCAGCACTTCTTCTCTCTTCCCTCCTTTCCCTTCCCCCACTGTTTAGTCAGTAGGAAAGTTGAGGTGGCCAGAAACCACCATACTATTGTTTTAGATCTATAGATTGCCAACTGTGCCCTTGATAAAGATCTTTTTTGTTTTTTAACAGTATTTGGGGCAAGTAAGGTATGTTCTGCCACGTTGTTTGAGAATCTCAAGTAATTGACTTTTCCTTTGTTCTCATACTTCGTTATAATATGTGCTTGGTAGTGTTAGTCTGAGTCAGTTATTGCTGTTAAAAAGCCAATTCATTCATTTTCCATTTCCAACTCCATTCATTCAATTTAATGAAGGAAGAGAGCCTGTAGCTCTGAACCCTTGGTAGATTGCTGTGATTTGGAATAAAGTGGGAGCTATATAGTTTTCTCCTGCCATGCTCGGTAGAAATAAAAACATCAACAAAATCAGATGAAATTGGAAACCTTTGAACTACATTTTAGGAAGGAAGGCCTAAAAAATCTATTGTACTTGTGGTGCAGTGAAAAGTCTTGGTGGTTTTTCTGTTTCATCCCTATCTTTCCTCTGTGATGACTGTGCTATCATAAGCCTCCATTTCTATGGCTTGGCTCTTTCTGTTTTGACAGTCACATGTTGCTTTTTCTCCTGGATGGAGCAGTGCTGGTCAGTGTTGGTCAGGCAAGAGTGACAGAGCTACTCTTTGGTCTTTTACAGGGTAGAACTGGAGACTTAGTCTTTCTCTATTTTGTAATAGAAAAGCAATAAGAATCCACTTCAAATCACATGTGTAAAATGCTATAAATGTTAACAATTATTGTCTGTCTACCTGTACTCATGACCTAGCTAGGGAAGATTCACCCCCCTCTTTTACAAATGTGAAAACTGACTCAGATCTTTTAACAATTGTGCAGAATAATTTTCAGCAGGAAAACAATAAGAATAGTTACAATTCAAATCATCATGAAACTTAGTCTTGCTCTTCTCCTTTCCTGGCAGACCTTTTCCTTGGAACTGCAAACCAGTTCTGTGTTAGAAGTGGAAAGGACCTCAGAGGTCAAGTCTAACCCCCTCAATTTAAATAAACCTGAGACCCAGGGATGTTAAGTGATTCTCCCAAGATAAGACAGATGATCAACCTCAGTGGTAGGATTTGAATCAGGGTCTCCTGTCTCCAGAAGCTGTGTTCCTTCCATTGTACCACAACTGCTTCCTCTTTCCTTCCTTCTTGTCCTCTATTCACTGCCTACTGGGAGAAATTGAAAGTTATAGAGTGACCTAAAGGGAATGGGCTAAGGAAAAGTGGGGGTTATTCTCTACCTGACTTGGGATTGACTTGGCTATTTTAGAAATGAAAGCAGATCTGTGCTTTGGGAAAGTAAAGGAGACAAGAGTTGAGAAATGCTGGGGGAAGGACATACTTCAGGAAAATGAGGATTTATTAGAGGGTAGATCTCATGTAATTGAAAATACTGAGCAGTGTTACCTTACCCTTCTGACACTTTTTGACTATGCCAAAGAGCCTAGTCCAGATTATTTAGCATCCCATCCCCCCAGTTTAGATAATTTGGTGGCCTCTGAGATCAATCAATCAATCAGCCATCATTTATCAAAGACCCACCTAGTAAATAGGAGGCAGTTAGGTAGCTCAGTGGATAAAGCATTGGGTCTGGAATCAAGAAGACCTGAGTTCAAATTCAGCCTCAGACACTTGCCGGCTGAGTGACTCTGGGCAAGTCACTTAACCTCTATTTGCCTTAATCTATTGGAGAAAGAAATGGGGGGAAAAAAACACTGGCATCTTTCCCAAGAAAAGCCCACGGGCAATATTGGCATGCTATGGTTCATGGAATCACAGAGTGTTGCACGTGGCTGACTGACTGAACAACAACAATGCAATCTCTAAAGAGTTTACAAGCAAAGTTCCTAGTTTGCCTTAATTAAACAAATGGCTGGAAATGGCACAGCACATACTGTTACCTTTTTCCTAGGATTTCAAGCAATCTGGGTGAGTTGGCCATAGTAACTTTTACCACTATCACCAAAATACTTCCCCCCTCTCATCCCAACTACACCTGATGGCTCCATCCTTGAACCCTTAGCTCTTTCTGAAGGACAATTCTGCCCTTGAAGCACTCTTGTAGAGCTTAAGAGAGTTCCTCATCCCTGTATCCCTTACACTCATCCTCTTGCTGTTTGATGGCAACCCTAAGTAGCCTAGGCTACCCTTAAACTAGCTCAGCAGCCCCTAGATAACTGGGAGTTTATTCTAGTTTTACCTGGGCCAAACAGAGGATAAATGTAGTAACTGGAGCTTCCAAAGTGGTTGGATTCTGCAAAAGTCTGTTGGATTGGGTAAATGGGTCTCTGTATGTCTGCCTGGAAAATAGGTGCCAACTTCCTTCACTTACCTTTTGTTCTGAAGCTGCCAGGTGCCCTACTTTATCACCTGGCTCTCTCATCCACAGGAGCTTCTTTGGCTCTGGGGGTGGAGAAGGCCAGAAAAGGTGGAAGGGAGTGGCTCAAACAACTGAAGCAAATATTTGCTAGGTAGGTTATCCTGCTCTTCTGGCTTCTGGCCTCATAAGTATTAAATGGCCAAGCCCCACTAATATTGAAGCTTGCCTAAAACTCAACTTACTTAGCAATGCTTGGGATTCCTGCCTAGATGGATTGGGATTTCTCTGGAACTACTTCAAGTAAATGCTAAAATGTTGCTGAAATAAACTCCAGTGGGCTTTTCCTTCTGAACATTTGAAAAGCATCTTGGAATCCTAGAAGAGGAGCATGACCTTGAATTTCAGCTCTTTTTATCAATTGCTCCAGTAAAATCACTGACCAGCTTCATGATTGAAAAACCCGTGAAGATGAAATCTCTTGTAAAGCTAAACTTACTCTGGCCTTATTTTCAGGGGGAAGAAGGGTGAAGTAAGTTAAATGCTGTTTCTCACTAAATGGATAACCAAGTGGGAAGGAAAGTGAAATCTCCCCAGTGAACATCTACCACTTACTGATAGAAAAGGGTAGAAAATGCTTTGTTTTTCTTTAAACTGTCAGCGGCTAACAGGTGACTTTGAGAGGTTGACATTTGTTCATTCATTCTTCAAATGTTTATTTTTTGTGACATCTTCCTAAGTGTTTCCCTCTGAAACAAATCTTTTGTTGAGCAGGTTCTCTCTGTCTCCCAAGTTCACTGTTTTGTTTAAATGGGCAAAGTGAGAAAGATCTAAAAAATGATGCTCTTGTGTGACAGGAGAGAATTCCTTATCTCTTTATTTTTGACTGTAAGAGCCTTGACTAGTCCAAAAAAATCATCCCTCCAATTATATAGCCCAAGAGCCAGTCAACTGAGGTAAGAATCTAGCTCAATAAATATAGTGAAAATCATCAGACATCTTGGTGATAGGCAGTTGACAGACAGCATACTTCTCTGTGTATTGTATTCCAATTTGGAATTTTGAGGGTCATGGAATAGTTAAGTGGCTCAGTGGATAAAGCACTGGGCCTAGAATCAGGAAGACCTGAGTTCAAATATGGCCTCAGACACTTACTAACTGTGTGACCCTGGAAAAGTCACTTAATCTCTGCCTCAATTTCCTCATCTGTAAAATGAGTTGGAGAAGGAAATGGCAACCCACTTCAGTATCCTTGCCAAGAAAACCCCAAATCAGCCCATGAAAAGTTGGACATGACTGAACAAAAACAACTGTGGAGTATCTCAGGTATCTCTGACTTTACTGGGATTTAAAAAAAAAATTCTGGTCTGGGAGTCAGGAGACATGAACTGTGTGACTCATTATTATCCTAGGAAAGTGACTTAATCTCTCTGAGCCTTGGTTTTCTCATCTATTTGGCTATGGTAACTTGTAACTAATGTCTTGGGACTTCTTTTTACTTGATATTTCAGTTAAGAAGTCAGATTATTCTAGTTTTATCTTTTGGAGCAAGGTAGATGTTGAAGGGTTTGCATAGTTAGATATCATTGTATTCTAAGGAAGGTAAATAGAAAAATCACTGCATTGATGTCTTTTCCTGGGTAGGAAAATCCTCCCCAGAAGGAGGAGTAGAAGACCCTAAATTTCAAGTTGATTTTTAATAGTAAGTGTGGATCTGTTCCCTGAGATGTTGTTGACTCCATAGCTGAACAAGTCACTGTGATATGAAGGTCCCTGTTTTCTTTTGCCATGTAGTATCCTGATGCTATTTATCACTAGTCTTGCACAAGAAGAATTTTAAATGTGGAAGAAGGGATCTTCTAGTCTAATCTCCAACCTTTACAGTTATGGAAATGGATGCCCAAAGCCTGGACATTAAGAATTTAAATCCAGGCCTCTTGATTTTCAACTGAAGGTTTGACTAACTGGTTCTCTCCCTGAAAGGAGGGGTGGGCAGGGACCCTGATTGAAGTAATCAGGTTGATTGTGTTTAATTCATTCATCTGACAAACTTTTATTAAGCTCCAAATATGTGATTGTGTTACGCCAGGCAAGAGAGGCAGTGTGGTAGTCCACAGGGAGTGTGCTGGCCTTGGAGTCAGGAAGACTTGGATTCAAATCCTGCCTCAGACACATACTAAGTTTTCGACTGTGGACTAATCACTTAGACTCTTGGTATCCTAGGTTGACTTAGAAGTTGGTTACTTATTAAGGGAAGAATTTCCTCGTATTAGAATAAAATCAAAACAATGCCTAGAATACTCTATAAGATAAATATGACAGTATCCTAGTGCAATTACTGAGTCTGATTGGTGAAATGTATACAATTATTATTGTGTCTATAAAGAATATGCAAATTGTAGAGTGAGTACCATGTGCTCTGAGATCAGAAGAGCAAGATCACTTCCAGGAGTGAGGCTTCATGAAGGAGGTAGAACATGAGTTGGGCCTTGAATGATGGGTAGGCTATTTGGAGACAGGGTTGAAGAAAGAGAGTAAATAAGTAAAGCCCGAGATGAGGTGGGGAGGGTCAATGAGTAATCCTGTTTTGGATGGAATGTTGAGCATACAAAGGAGTCATGAGAGAAGTTGCTTCTCAGCTTCTGATAGTTGAGAATTACAGTTCTAAATAGGATTGCTCTATCATGTGGGCTTTTTACCTGGTTCATCTACCAAGTAATCAGTATCTTGGATGTAGTGTTACATTAAATGTGACAGGATCCCACCCTCCTTGGCATTTGTGTTTTAAAATATCCTGTGATATAGGGTTAGATGAATGAGTGAGTGATTGAATGAACACACAAACCATGGGGAACCAACTAGCTGAGAAAATCTAAAGGACAACTTCTCATCAAGGTTCCTGAAGAATGAATAATACACCAGTAGTGGGTAATAGGAATTGAAGAGGTGGGAGATCAGGGAACAGAACATTATTGTATCATTTCAGGCAGGTGGTCAGGAGGGTCTGAACCGTGCTGATGGCAGTGGAAGCAAAAAGGAAAGAGTGGTTATGAGGCCTGCTATGAAAGGTGAATTGAGAGGACTTTGCTGTAGAAGAGGGAGAGGGAGGAGTAAAACTCAGGTTTCCAGTCTGGGTGAGGGTGGGGAGGGAGAAGGAGTGGTGGGATCACTGGCAGAGGCAAGAAAGTTGAGCATAGGTGCATAGTTACAGAGGGAGATGCTGAGTCCAATTGTAGATTGTTGAGTTCAGTCATTTATATCAGAATACATTAATGTATGCTATTATAAATGCAGGACATTCAAGTGGAAATGTACAACAGGCAACTGGAGATAGGAAGTGATAGCTCAGCAAATGTAAATTTGTGGTTATCTCATCAAAATCATTCCTTATACACTGCAGGTGATTGGCATATCATAGGCTAGAGAATAGAGAATGTCTCCCTCTCTGTCAGCTCACTGATGAGGAAGACTCTCGTGTTGCCTGTATGGATTATTGCTCCAGTCTTGGGGATTTCTTTCTGTGCTAGGCATACCATTAGAGAGGGACTCACTTATTCTTGCTGCATGACTTCAACATTATGATATAAGGGATGGGACACTGGCCTTGCAGTCAAGGAACACCTGGCTTCGAATCCCGTCTCAGACACTTATTCAATGTATGACCTGGGTAATCACTTTAACTTCTCTGAGCCTCAGTTTCCTCATCTATAAAAATAATATGAGTACTTACTTCATTGTTGTAGGGAATCAAATGAGAAATTATTTGTGAAACATTTTATAAGCTTTAAAGAGCTATTTTTATGATTAAATCAATATTCAAGATGGCATTCATATGAAATGGACAATTCCTAAAGATGCCTTTATGAAGGAAACAAGCCAGATACTAACTCATACCCTTAATATGGGAAAATTAACACTTTTAATCTATAGAAAAATCGAAATGCACAGAAATTGTCTTGTTCTTTAAAAAAAAAAGATATCTATACCATTTTAGGTACAGCTACATAACAAGAACACTTAACTGGCAAAGTCAGTCAGTTACCAGTTATTAAGTAACTACCTACTATGTGCCAGGCCCTGTGCTAAATGCAAGGAGTTAGAATTGGAAGTCTCCCAGAATTAACATGCCAAGGCGAACCTCCATTCCCTCACTTTTCACCATCCTCCTCTTCCAAATTAATTAAAGCACAGGTGTTCATGCTCTTACACACACACACACACACACACACACACACACACACACACACACGCGAGGGCTCTCTCTCTCTCATCTTACCTTTCCTGGGAATGGCTCCTTAGTGACAGATTCTGGAAGCACCAGCTTCACTTTGTAACCCATTTGGTTGTCAGATATAAATAAAAGGCCTTTCATTGGACCCATCTGAAGAGTAAAACACAACACAACAGGTTAAGGCCATTTCCTGAGGCATATTCATTCCAGGAAGCAGTATGAGAGAAGGAAAGTGAACTTGGACTGTTAACAGCAAAATATTTGAAAACAAAGGGCTATTCCACCTTTGTTTCCCAACAAGGAAGCAAGAAAAAAGAACTCTGATGTAACTTCAGCTGTGCAAGAGATTAATGGCATTATCATTATCCCCATCCCAAATAATATTTCTCAGGTTTATAAGGGGGCCTACTATGTTGAGTAGGTTTTACACTGTTTAGTTGCTCAAAATCTGTGTGCCCTGCACACTTGCAACATGAGTCCCAAGAGCTGGCAATTTTAAACCTTGAGCCAAAACACTAGTATGTTTAAGTGGGAAAGGAACATGTAGTAAACATTTCTTTCTACTACTTTGTGATTTAGCATGTATTTTCCAACTCATGTATGTTGTGATATGTCAGTAGCAGGACTCTTCATCTCTGCCAAAGTGGATTATCAGGAAGTCTTAAAAGAGGCTGGAAAGTGTGCTTTTCATAGATAACATTATTTGAGGACAATAGAGAAGTCTCAGAAATAGTATGGAAGGAGATGATTGAAAGCATTCCAATATCAGGAGAGTGAACCTAGGAATTAAAGGAGATGAGAGTAATTGGTTAATTTGAAGTAGAGATTAATTATGAAAGGGGATGAAGACCCATTAGAGGAGGAGCCTTTACTGAAGAGAAAGTTGACATTTGTTGAGCTGGTGACTAAGACAGATGGTGTGGATAGTTGTATGAGATATCTACAATTTAGAGACCAAAGAAGAATAGATTAGAGGAATCCAATAGGGGAATGACCAAGACCAGGATTGGTCATTTAGTTATGAAGTTGGGGCAAGAGGAGAGAAAGAGTGAATCCAGGGAGAAGGGATATGACTTGGTAACAGGTTGGATATGTGGTTGAGAAAGTACAGTTTGAAGTTTAAAAAATGGCCCCATAATGTCACACCTAGAAGAAACAAATATGTTGGCTAGTTTTTTTTTTTAATGAGCTCTAGCACTATTGATTTGTGTTGTTGTTGTTGTGTTTTGTCAGTGCTATTGCTGTATACTTAATCTTTCTGGGTTCCTTGTTGACATAAAATCCAGCTGATGTACATTTTAAGTTTTAAATTTCACTATTCCCAGACCATGGCGCCGTGGCCTGAATTGGGAAACTCCCACTCTAATCCTAATAAATATATCGAAGAGGCTACCACCCAACAATCTACTATGTCTGGAAAAGATAAAGGAAACCCCAGCAGTAAGTACTATTCTCCCATTCATCTTGAAATAACACGACCTCCTCCCTAGGAGAAATGGGCCCTACTATCCCTGATGGTTTGTTGTTTTTTTTCTTTTGCTTCCTTTGGCAGATAATGCCCATCCTCCTGTAAACAAGATAGAACTTCTGCCATCTTACTCTACTATTGCATTGATTGAAGAGCCAGTGGTAGAGCAAGACCCATGGGACATGCCTAACATTAAGGACTCTGGAATCGAGTGGTCAGGTAATGCTGGCTCCTTTGGAACATCTCATTCAGTGAGGAATATATGACCTGGTGCTGCTTCTGTGGTCTACTTTATTTCTGGTAGCCATTTCCTTCTTGGGTATCATAATTGTGTGTGTGTGGTGTGTGTGTGTGTGTGTGTATGTGTGTGTGTTGTATGTCTGTGTGAGACAGAGAGAGAGAGAGAGAGACGGAGAAATAGAGAGAATATAGACTTGTGTATGTTTCTCTTTGTGGGAGGCTACAGTAGCTTGTCATTTCCAGGTAATGTAATATAGTGGAAAGAGCCCTGAATTTGTATTTAAAAATCAGGTTTGAGTTATGTTGGTTTTTTTTTGGGGGGGGGCTAGGCAATGGGGTTAAGTGACTTGCCCAGGGTCACACAACTAGTAAGTGTCAAGTGTCTGAGGTCAGATCTGACTCAGGTCCTCCTGACTTCAGGCCCAGCGGTTTATCCACTGCACCACCTAGCTGCCCCTTTGAGGTATGGTTTTGACACTTACTAGATGTGTGTTACCTTGGACAAGTCACTTCATCATTCTCAGTCTCAGTTGCTTCTTTAAAATCAGGATGAGACATTTCACATTTAGAAATGTTAGTATATTTATACTCCCTACCTCACAAGATTATTGTGAGAAACCATTGAGTCAGTCTTCAAGCCCTGCATAAATGTGATCTGGTATCATTTTTCTGATGCCCCCAAGCCTGCAGTTAGGGCCATCTTCCTGCCACCACTGCCGGGGTTGAGGACGTTCTTTGCTAAGGCCTCGTGAACATTTCTTTCTCATTATTATGCTATATCTCTCAGTGTGCATTGTTGTTGGGCTGCTCGAATTCAATTTTTGCCTCAGTCTAGGGCTCTGGCACAGTACTCCTCATAGTTTTCTACTTTCTCCTTTTTCATTCTATCTTTGGTTTCCCATTCTTCCTTGGACAATGCTAATGGGAACCATTGGACTCTCCCTACCTCCTTCATCGAAATCTCATGTAATTCTGTTCCTACAGACATTAACATTCATACTGTTCTATAATATGATTAACTAGTACATGATGGAGAAGACTTGGCATTATAGTAGTCCATGTAAAAAAGTTAATTTTGATATGAACCAACAGTATACCATGTCTGTCTCATTGACTTATCTTAAAACCGAGGTAATCTCTTTATTTTTGGTTCAAATCTGATTTCATAGGTATAGCAAACTCTTGGTATAGAATGCTGATACAGATTGGGCAATTCATCTCTATCTTAAAGTTTTAGAGAAAAATATTTTAGGAAAATATTTTGTCCACAGTCATTTAGTTATTGTGTGTGAGAGCGGGTTTTGAACTGAGATCTTAGTAACTCCAAAGTGAGCCTTCTCTGTGCTACATCACCCTGCCTCTTAATGTTAAGCTGCATTAATAGAAAGAGAGTGTCCGGATCGTGTTAAGTGATCATTCCATTATATTCTTTCTTAGTCAGAGCATTTCTGATGTAGTATGTTCAGTCCTGGGTGCTACAGTTAAGGAAAGGGACTTGGTTTGGATAGAATTAGATAAGAGTGGCTCTAGGAGAGGGCAAGCATGCTGGTTGAATTGTAGTCAAGGAGCTAGGAATGCTTAGGTGGAAATGAAAAGACTTATCTATATTGGCTCCAGAACAAGGAGGAAGCATCAAATTAAATCCAAGAATTATCCATAAGGGGAGTGAGCTTAGTGCAAGTGTACAATCAGACCTGAATGACTGGAGATGTGGGACAAGGGAGTCTTGGAAGGTATTACAAGGGAAGACTAGATGATATGAGGTTCCTTTCAACAATTATGATTTATTCAACAAATCTTTTTAGAAGCCTACTATGTGTAAGACGTATGAGCTTTGGGATATACAAACATGGTTAATAACCTGGGCCCTACGTAAGATAGAGTTGTCTGTCATCCCATTGGTCACTGGTGTTTCTGGTTCTGGTCATCCTCGCCTCCTTGGCTTAGCTTTGGGAGGCAGAAGTGGGTCTGAGCCAGTGCTGGGTCATATTTTCTCATTTGCTGTCTGCCAGCAACACTGCTGGGCACTGTTGGTGCTTTAAAGATGAATTTCATTATCACCATCATCAACATCCAATCCAATTGACTAAATGTGTCCATGCTTATGATGGTGTGCTCAGGATGCTACAAAGCAAGTGAGACTGATATGGATCATGTCCTAGGGGAGGGCGACAGCTCCACAGGGTCAGTAGGAAGAGGCAAGAGGATGGGCAAATGCATAGCATGGGAATATCAGATGAGACAGCCCTCTGGCGAATTGTGTAAAGCCAAAGGTCTCCCTCCTGCATTCCAGGATGGACTTATGAAAGTTCTGGGCATCATTTCTGAAGTTGGGAGGAAGGTGCATAAACACTTTCACTCCTTCTCCCTTTTATGTATACCACGAGGTGTACACTAGATGGTGCAGTGGAGAGAAGGCTGCATCTAGAGTCATAAACACCTGAGTTGAGTAGGCCTCAGACACTTCCTAGCTGTGTTACCCTAGGCAGGTCACCTAAGCGCTCTACCTCAGTTTCTTAGCTATAAAATTGATAATAATACTTACTTTACAAGGTTAATGTGAGGACAAATGAGGATTAAAGCACTCTCTACATGTTAGCTGTTACCATTACTCCTTCCTTCTTTCCATCCGTAGCATTTTCTACCTGTTCTTGTATGGTATTTCATATTTGGGCATATTTTACATCCCTGTTAGATTACAATCTGTAAGGGCAAGGAACATATCTCAATTGTCTTTATCTAGCCCCAGCTCCTGGCACAGTGCTTTCCACATAGCTGGCTCATTTAAAAAAATGGTTATTGATAGATGAATGAATGATTATCTTACCTGGCTGCTAAAGGGGACTAGCTGGGCCTTTGGAAGGCAAGTGTTGCTTAAGGACAAATGAAGGAAGGCAGAAAAGTGGAACTGGGAGAAGGAATACTGGGTGAGGGGGGGATCCAGCTTAGAGCCTAGTGGCCAGTGAGAAGAAAGGGCAGGTGCTGTGAGATGGGAACCATTGCTGGGCTCTGGGAAGGGGGTGAGGTGGGGCAGGACTAATCCTCCTAGGGCTGGCCAACATCATTAGTAATATTTGGGGCCAAAAGATTCTGTCATTCTGTCAAAGCAAAACTGTCATTTTTACTGAGAAGCCCAATAGTCAAAAGGAAGCCCTCAGGTCCTTCTGAAGAGCACTAAGTGCTTTGCTGGTCATTATCTCAGGAGCCGTCTGCCTGGACCTGGCTGCTACTACCATCTATACCACTTAGCAAACCAATGGTTCAGCTAAGAATGCAGCCTTGATTTGCTTATGGCTCCCCCTGCCTCCCCTCCAGACCACAATGTTATTGGTGCCCAAAAGCTTCTTCACAAATGTGGCTTTTTTTTTAAAGTGGGGGGAAATTTGGGGACCACTTCAAGTAAATGGCATATTTATTAAAATGCACTTCCTAATGCATCACTAAAGCTGACAACCCCAGCCTGCCTTCTCCTTGCTGAAAAGAGATGGGAGATTCTTGAACAAAATGCTAGTTCCTGTGTGTGTGTGTGTGTGTGTGTGTGTGTGTGTGTGTGTGTGTGCACATACATGGGCATGCTATACACACAAACATGTCATAAATAAGACAGTATTTGAAAGAGTGCTTAGCACAGTGCCTGGCACATAGTAGGTATTTAATAAATGCTTGCTCACTTCTCCTTTGTTTTTGCAGAGAGAGATATACCAAAGGAAAAATAATTGCTGTCTTTCGAGGGTTTGGGAAAGTGATTCTCCTCCTGGGATTTCTCTACTTCTTTGTCTGCTCCTTGGACATTCTCAGCAGCGCTTTCCAGCTGGTTGGAGGTATGAAAAGCAACATCAGAAAGGGTCAAAGGTTTGTGGGTGGCTTTTGTTTTTGCTTTCTAATTGATTTTGGTTCAGCCTATAGCAATCAACAAAGCAATGTCAACCCAAGTAATCTCCCTTCTTTTAAACTATTCTCTGACTGAGGGGGTCTCACCTTTTCATCCACTCCGGAAATGAGTATGCTTCTTGAGTGGTACTTTCCTCCCGTCCATCCTTTCCCTACTGCAGCACCCAGTCCACCTCACTTACACTCCAGTCTCTGAAAGTGAGACAGTTTAGGGATTAGGTTTCAAAAACCTTTGTGACAAATCTTTGTAATAGAGAATTTAGGCCATCAAATTAAGGTTTTGGGGTGAGGGTCTGAATTTTGATCCCCTGTTGATGTCTAAAACATAACCTCTAGTTTCAGAGACTAGAATCTATTTAAGATCTATGAAAGTGAACTGGTCAGATTTACACTGGGAACGTAAAGAGAAGAATTGGAGTGATTTTGTCCAAGCCTTTCTCATCCCACTCTTTATTCTCTCCACAAATTCTTCCAGTTCTATCTCAAAACAATCTGTGCTTGAAGGCAGAGACCCTGGGGTGTGTGTGTGTGTGCGCTTAATCTCCAGCCTGGCCTAGCATGTTTTCCACATTCTTGACTTTCATGGGTAAATGATCATTTGTTTTTGACTCCAACCATTTAGACAATTGATTTCATGCTCTACTCCATTTCCTTTGTGTAAAGCCTGGCCTTCATGCTTCTACTCTGCAGACTAATAATGGTAGCCATTATTATTACTAAGCTCTGAGACAGGGATGGGGGCATACAAAGGAAATGGAAGACCTATCTCTAACCTTAGGAAATTTGTAATTTTGTTGGGATGACACAACATGCACATGGAAAGGATTTCAGGTCTTATAAGCACCCTACAACGTGATATACCTTAAATAAACCAAATGGTGAAAAGCAATAAGCATATATGTGTGTGTGTATGTGTGTGTATATACAGATATATATATGGAGAGAGAGAGAGGGATAGATATAGATAGGTATAGATAGATATAGATAGATATCTATCTGTATATCATTTACCATATGCCAAGCACTCAGCAAATATTGTCTTCAAATATCATCTTGACAACAGCTTTGTGAGGTAGGTTCATTTCACAGTCAAGGAAACTGAGGCTGAGAATGATGAATTCGCTTGTCCAGGGTCATACAGCTAGTAAGTGTCTGAGGCTAGATTTGAGCTCAAGTCTTCTTGATTCAAGGTCCAAGCATCAACCAGCTGCCTCAGAACCCCTCAGTGCAATGGAGATACTTGGTAAAGGACAGAGTTGGGTAGAAAAGTTTTGAAGGAAGAGAGTGTCCCTCCCCTCCAATGGATGGAATACTGGGGGAGGGGATGGAGGAGAGGGAGGCACCCTTCTAGGCCAGAGTAATTCTTTCCAGGCATAGGAACATGTAAGTATGTGTGAGCAATAGCAAGTGGATTTGTTCTGATATAGCAGAGACACTAAACTGGAGTGAGAGAATGTGGTGAGGTTCAGGGCAGCAGATGATAATAACTGGCATATCTATGGCCCTTTAAAATTTGTGCAGAAAGGTGAAGTGCCTTGCCTTTGCTCACACAGTGAGACAGAGGCAGGATCTGACTTATGGCTTCCTAAAATCAAATTCAGTCCTCTGTCCTTTGCCACATTGCCTGCCTTGGCAGCCAGAGACTCCTTCTCCCTCCTCCTTCCCGCATAATGGTCCCTAGTCTTTGTTCTGTGGCCCAGCAGTTCCAACCAACTATCATCTATGTTATTTTATTTTAATTTCATTACATTTGCAGGAAAAATGGCTGGGGAGCTTTTCCGTGATGGTTCAGTGTTGAACAATCCTGTGGCGGGCTTGGTGATTGGTGTGTTAGTGACTGTCATGGTGCAGAGTTCCAGCACATCCTCGTCCATCATTGTCAGCATGGTGTCCTCTTCATGTGAGTTATCCCTGATACACACACAACACACACACACACACACACACACACACACACACACAGCCTTGTTGGTTAGGCAAGCCCAGATCCATTCGAAGAATTTCATTCCAAATTTCAGAATTATGTATTTGTTTACAATGTGGGCTGGCCTTTAATTTTTATCTTCTTGCTTTCCCATCTTTCCAGTCTTGGGACAGAGCTGTTGCCACGGACACAATTGGAGCAGTGATGATGCTCCCTAACATTGCCTCCTGTGGTCTCTAAGTTTTCTTGCCATTTTATACTCTCGTCACAGGTCTGAGTACTTGGTCTCAGCTGTATTGAGTTGTTCTTCACTACACTAGGGCTGGATGAGTGACTGACTGGTTGGGCACCTTGCAGAAAAGATTCCTCTTCTTGGTCATGGTTGGATTCCATAGCCTTCCCAACTTTTTTTTTTAAGCTGACTTTTCAACTTGTTTAAGTTTTCTTTTCCCTGTGAATTTCCACATTTTTTCTTCCTCATTTACCTTTTTCCTTTGACAGTGTTGACAGTAAAGGCAGCAATTCCCATTATCATGGGAGCCAATATTGGGACATCAGTCACCAATACTGTCGTGGCCCTCATGCAGGCTGGAGACAGGGATGAATTTCGAAGGTAGGAAGTTTTGTCTCACTTGTTTGCTAGTCATGTCTTCTCCATCACTGCAGTAACTATCTTTGACTAACAAAGTTGAGAATCTTCACTCAGCTACACAGATACATCCCAGGCTCTTCCAATGGACTTTGTTACAATGCAGATTGTGGGATGAGCATATATACTGAGTAGTTCAAATGACTTAGCTTAGTCATAAATTATCAGTTGATAATGATTTCATTTTTGGTACAATGCATTCCCTTTCATATTTTGTTCTTCTAGACTCATAAAAAGCAAAATATTCTAGGAAGAAGGCTGGGAAGAGGTGACAGGTTATTGGGGGTGGTAGTGGTGCCACTGAATAAAAGACAAAGGAAATCTTTGTCTCCCTAGTGAAGGGAATATCATCAGTATTTCATTTTCTGAACTGGTTTTCAGGTTTTACTGATTCCTGTAAGGGGATCAGAGCAAGTTAGACTGTGAAAATTGTAGAAGTGATGATCATGCCATTTTTGCCTTTCTTGTATAATATAATCAGGGTACTGTACTCAGAGAGAGAGCCAGATTGGGAATCTCAGGTAGGAATCTGTGTGGAGAAATGGCACAATTCCTTGACAATAAATGTCATACCTTGTCCCTTAATCAATAGATGCAAGTCAGAAGAGCTTAACTGGGTATGTACATCCTTTGGCCATTCTGTGCTCTTGGGCCCACCCATATTTAACTCCCACTGATACTTTTTAATGCAATTCTGCTTCAGTCCATGAATCACAAATGCTACAATACCTACTGGTGATCCTGCAGGTTAAATGTCCAATAAATATTTAAGTGAACATAACAGCTTCTTTGTCTATCCCAATAGACCTAAGTTGGTCACAGGGGAGACACTTTGAACTGAAATGAAGAGAATTTCTGTGATATGCCCCTTTATAGTAGGGAGCTTCCATACAGCTCCCATGTTTCATAGCAATGATAATGGAATGGAGTGAAATGAGTTATTTATTAAGCACCTTGTACCAAGCACTGTGTATTATTCATTTTACACATGTGTCTCATTTGACCCTCTCAACAACCCTGTGAAAGAAGTCCTATTATTACCCGCATTCTGTACAGCAGAGGAAACCCAGGCAGACAAGGATTAAGTGACTTGGTCATGGTCTCACAGCTAGTAAGTCTCTAAGGCTGGATTTGAATTTCAGTCTTTCTGACTCCAGGTCCAGCATGCTACTCACTGTGTCACTTAGTCACCTCTCTTTGTAAAAGCTATGTAATATCTAATATTATGTGTCATGTAATATAATAATAGCTAGCGTTGATGTAGAGGCTTACAATTTGCAAAGCATTTTATAAACATTGTCTTGTTTGATCCTCACAACAACCCTGGGAGGCATGTGCTATTATTATCCCCCTTTTATATATAAGAGAACTGAGTCAGACAGAGGTTAAGTGACTTGGCCAGGATCACCCAGCTAGTAAGCTTCTGAAAATACATTTGAACTCATGTCTTCCTGATTCCAGGTACAGTGTTCTATCCATCTTGCTACTATGGCAAATAACTCAGATGATATTATGGTGAAGTGTGTATGTAGACAATGCAGTCTTTTTCCCTCATGTGCTGTATTAAGTTTTGGGGGGGGGCAACTGGATCTGTGGTTTTACTGATGTGAGGAAACTTCTAATGTGGAAACCCCACCATTTTGCTGATGCTGATTGGCAACTCCAGCAGGGGATTAAGTCACTGAAAGTATTGAGTGACTTCTCGTGGTCCTATAACTAGAAGGAGACCTGAAACTGGGTCTTTCAAGCTGGTCTTTTTCATGACATTTGCACCATGCTTTCTCATTCTGCACACAGTAAGCACTTAATGAGAGTCACAAGACAATATCATAACATTAAATGCTTTGTGTTTTCTCCTTCTTTTAGGGCTTTTGCAGGAGCTACTGTTCATGATTTTTTTAACTGGTTGTCAGTGCTGGTGCTGCTGCCTCTGGAGGTGATCACAAACTACCTCTACCACCTCACCAATGTCATAGTGAAATCCTTTAATATCAAGAGTGGAGATGATGCCCCAGAACTCCTGAAAGTCATCACAGATCCCTTAACAAAACTCATCATTCAGGTGGGCTCTGGTTTTTAAATTTAAAATGAAATAGCACCAGTGATGGGCTTGGTTCCCTTGGAAGGGGAGTTAAAAATCTCCTTCTCCCCCCATCTAATTGGATGTTTCCCCTACTTGCTGTGACTTCCTCATTCACTGCCAGGGTGGAGCTAAGGAGCAAGCACTGGGTTGCTTAGACCTCCATGGTGGTATAGATTCACTCTTCACCACTGCACTGGCCCAAACAAGACTCAACCATTCTACCATTTTATGCCAGATGTCTCTTTTTTGGATGATGTGGATATCATTGCATTTATTACCCTTTAGATCAGGGTGATGTATCTGTCTCTAGCAAAAACTTTTTAATTCTGCATATGCTTTGCTATTCATCTGGCCCAAAAGGAGCTCTTACCCAAGGGATGCCTCTAACCAATCAGCATTTATTAATCTCCTACCATGGACCAGGTACTAGGCTTTACAGTGACAAAAAAGAGAGACCCTCATTGGCTTCAAGGAGCTGGCAGTCTACTGGGCCCTCCTGAAATGGGGCAAAAAGGGTTCATCTGGGGTGATGCTGGTCAAACTAAGATGAGACAAGGGCACATATGCAAGTGTAGTCCTCTGGAAATGAGGCCCATCTGTGTCTCTCTTTTACACACATCCCGGCTTTCTCTTCTGTACACTGGAGCCCCTAGGAGAGTAACTAATTAACTTTTCACTCACAAATCATAGCTGAAGAACAGGCTAACTCTTTTACTCATGTCTGTTGCTTTCCCCAGCTGGATAAAAAAGTCATAAATGAAATTGCTACAGGCGATGAAGCAGCAAAAAACAAAAGCCTGATAAAGATTTGGTGTGAAACTTTTAAAGATGTGGTAAGTATCAGAAAGTCATTCAAAGTACATAGATGGGGGATTGAGAATTCTCTGTTCCTTCTGTGATGTTGAGGGACTGCAAGTGCTGTTGGTTTTCTCTAAATTTAATGCCCTAGACCAAAACTCTAGTCACCCTGCCCTAGTTATACCTCAGACTAGGGGGCAGAATAAGACTGCTCCAAGATAGGGATAAAGCAATTGACTGCCCAGGTCCCCGTTCTGGGGGAGCAGTGCTCACTGAGTGTAGCTCAGCTGGCCTTCAGAAGTAATCCAGATGTTCTGTAGGTTCAGCCAATGCTCCATAGACCAAGCACAAAGGCTGAAGGTCTTTGGGGATTATGAGGAAGGTGAGGTAGAGAAGAGGGGGAAATGGGGATTTAGTGGCCAGTGGGGTTCATGTCTTCAGTGCTGTAACTTGTCTTCACATAATATCATTCTTAGTAACAACTTTTTTCTGTACTTTGTCATGTAGACTTTAAGCAACGTTACCGTTCCCTCACCAGAAAACTGTACCTCTCCCAGTCTCTGCTGGACTGACGGGAACATGACCTGGACCCTCATGAACACAACATATGAAAAGAACATTGCCAAGTGTGAGTAGGAAATCTTCTGGGAAGTCTGCTGAGGGAAAGAGGAATTTCTAACCCTATTCTCAACATGGTTCTATCCATTCTAACAGTGTTCTCGTCATAGTGGTGTGGTGGATAGAGCTCTGCACCCAATATTCTATAGTGACCCCAGAAACTAACTACCTCTGCCTACCTGTATGTCTATAGTTTACCACCAGGAGGTAATTTAGGAATTAGAAGCTCAAACGTCAATTCTAACAATGCCCTCCTCATAATGATGCGGTGCCTACTGCTCTGCACCCAGAATAAGGCAGACCTGGTCCAATCCTGCCTCAGGGACTTAGTCTGAGTAACCCTGAACAAGTCACTCACCTGCTGTCTGCCTCAGTTTCCTTATCTGTAAAATGGGGATAATAATAGCAATGACCTCCCAGGGTTCTTGTGAGGATCAAATGATATTATGTATGTAAAGCACTTTACAGACCTTCAAGCACCATATAAATGTTAGCTGTTATTATTGTTGTTGTTAGTATATTTGTGTAACATTTTACAAAGCACTTCATTATATTTTCTGTATAATTAAACTGAAGCAGCAAGTGAGTAATACAAACTTGGGCAAATCCATTCTTGGGAAGGGAGAAATGCCCTCTCTGGTGCAAAGATCATAGAATGTTGGAGCGGGAAGGCTTCCTTGAGGTCATTTAGTCCAACCCTCTCATTTTATAGAGCAGGATACCTGACACCCACACAGGTGGAAGAAGCTGCCCGCTGTCACAGAGATCACAGCAGAGAGCAGAATCAAGATTTGAACCCAGGACGTCTAACTCCATTTCCAGTGCTCTTTCCATTTGTTATGCTGGGTGTACAGAGACTTTCTCACACTCATGTTTCAAGGCTTTTTAAAAATCAAAAGTGCCACATTGTACAATGACTAACTTTGATAGACTTAGCTCTTCTCAGTAATGCAAGGATCTAAGATATCTCCAAAAGTCTCATAATGGAAAATGCTATCCACATCCAGAGAAAGAACGATAGGGTTGGAATGCAGATCAAAGCATACTATTTTGCTCTTTTTTTTCCTTCTGTTTTATTTTGTTTCTTCTTTCTTGTGGTTCCTCCTATCGGTTCTAATTGTTCTTTACAACATGACTAATGTAAAAATATGTTTAATAGGAATATATATGCAGAGCCTATATGAGATTGCATACTGTGTTGGGAAGGGAAGTGGGAAGGGAGGGGAAAAAATTTAAAACTCAAAATCTTGTGGAAGTGATTGTTGAAAACTAAAATTAAATTAATTAAAATAAATAAAATGTAAGAACCCCCCCCCAAAAAAAGAAAAAGAACTATACAGGATCACCATCGAGCATATTTTTCCCATAAAATAACTTATTTTTGTGTTTCTTAAATTCTAATAAAGAAGTTTTATTCATTAAAGAAAATCAAAAGTGGCTTCTTATAAAAAGGTCGGGGATGCTTACTCTGAGGTAGGTCCTGGGGCTAAATGTTATTTGGATTGAACTTACATATCTTTTGAGATTTGTTTTTGAACGTATAAACCTTTGCTTAATTAGACTCACTTTATACAAGGCATGGTGCTGCATAGAACGCTGTGTATCTCTGGGTTAAGTGATGAAGAAGAAGAGGAAGATACTAAATGGTTCCTCTCCTTCTTCCAGGCAAACACGCATTTGTGGATGTCAGTCTCTCCGATCTGAGTATTGGCCTCATTCTTCTAGCCATCTCTTTGGTGGTCCTGTGCACTTGTTTGATCTTGATTGTTAAGGTCCTGAACTCTGTACTCAAGGGACAAGTTGCTGCTGTGATTAAGAAGACCATCAACACAGGTAGGCATTTCACTCTCCCTGGGCCTTTCTTTGGGCAGTCCTTAAGAAAAAAGACACTTGCTGGTTCTCCTCTCATTGTGCTCACTGAGGTCCACACCTGACCCATATGTCTTGAGACAAGAACTGCAGATGACCCTGGTCTCCACTTGTGTTCTTTCCTTCCACATTAACAATCCTGGGAATCTATGTTGTCTCTTTTGTTTTGAATTTGCATTATTGAACCAGTCTTGGAGAGCCCTCACAGCTCTGGGTGACTCTGGGATTGTACATTATTGAGAATCTGCCAGCCTGCATTGGGAGAGGGAGTTCCCTCATCTTAGGGCATTTTTACAATGCCTACTATGTGCTAGGCACTGTGCTTAGTGCTTTTTACAAATATTATCTCATTTGAGCAAAGAAGGGTATAAATGTAATTTTTAGAATGTTGGCAGGGAGTTCCTAAGACACCCTCCTTTCCCCCACCCAGGAAACTTCTTGCTGACTGCAATTGGGAATTATTTCTGCTTGAAGTTTTGGAATGAATTTTTAGTAAAACTACTGTTTTTGAATTGCCCCTAGAGTGATCTTTTGTATCGGATATGAAATGCTGACCAGGACAATTGTAGAAATGGTGCCCTTTTCTTCTCCTGTTTCCCAGATTTCCCCTTCCCTTTTGCCTGGCTGACAGGCTACCTCGCCATTCTGGTTGGAGCTGGGATTACATTTCTTGTGCAGAGTAGCTCTGTGTTCACCTCCGCAATCACTCCTCTGGTTGGTAAGTCCTCTCTTCCTCCCGCTTCCCTTTTCACATGCCCATGTCTCCATTTTTACATGGGGTCCTGCCATGCTCAATCATTCCCACCCAGGACGGAATCCAATGTCTTTTTTTTCCCCCTTAGGCATCGGTGTGATCAGCCTTGAGAGAGCTTACCCTTTAACCTTGGGCTCCAACATCGGTACCACCACCACTGCCATCCTGGCTGCATTAGCTAGCCCTGGAAATACTTTACAAAGTTCACTCCAGGTCAGGATGCACAGTTGTGATTCATTGCCTCTTTCAATTAAGCTCTCTTTTCTTAGCTTACTACAAAATCCTTCAAATAAACCTGCTGGTTTCTTTCTTGTCACATGCTTCATGTCACAAGGGGACATGTATTACTCCTGATATCTTACCTGTCTTAGAGTGGTGACCTGTGGGTTACAAAATTGTCCCTAGCTATTGTTCTCAGATGCTGAACTTTTTTTTAATAATGACCAGATATATAAACAAGTTAGAGATAGAAAGCAGGTAGGCATATGATGGATAATTTTGATTACATTAAATTAAAAAGATTTTGTACAAATAAAACAAATGTAACCAAGATCAGAAGAAAAGGAAAAAACTGGGAAAACATTTTCATAGACAGTTTCTCAGATAAAGGTCTCAAACTTTGTCAAATCTCTAAGAATAGGAGTCATTCCCCAACTGATAAATGGTCAAAGGATATGAAAATGCAGTTTTCCATTGAAAAAATCAAGACAATGTATAGTCACATAAAAATGCTCTTAATCATTATTGATTAGAGAAATGCAAATTAAAACAACCTTAAGATATCATTTTACACCTAGCAGATTGCCTAAAATGATTGAAGGAGAAAGTGACAAATATTAGAAGGAAATGTGGAAACATGGGACACTAATTTGTTGTTGGTGGAATTGTGAACTAATCCAACCATTTTGGATGTTTTAAATATCTCTAACTTGTGCCCATAATAAACAAATTAGGATGGTGAATATTTACATTCCTTATCCCCTACCTTATTCCCTGTCTGCCACATAAAATGATTGAAAGGGTTTGGATAACTTCGCCTTTTTGCCCTTCTATCACTCAGAAAAAGTGGTATGGTAGGAAGAATTTCTGACTTTGATGTCAGAAGACCTGAGTTTGAATCCCAACTCTGTTACTTGTTAGGTGACTGGTATAGATCCATGTTTTGTGTTTAGAGGAGAGAGAGGTGACTGTTGGTGTCATGGGGGAAGAGAAGCCTCTTCCTTGAAGAATGCTGAGGATCTGTTTGGGCAGAGAGCAGGAGGAAAAGTATGAGAGGGAGAAGGATGTGAACCGAGGTCCCGGGGATATGTCGAGTGAACAAGCATCTTTGAAGAACCAGTTTCACTGGAGTGGATGATAATGGTCGCAGGGGCAGAACTAACATTAATGATGATAATAGGACTGTTATAGACACCATAGCAGGAGGAGGTAATGCTGAAAAAGGCAGATGAGGATCAAGTTCTAGAGGGCCTTGAAAGCTGAACTAAGGATTTCGGTTTTTCTTCAAACATCAGGAAGGCAAGAGGTATTGGATTTAAGGGTAGGTGTCATCAGAATTTTGATTTGGGAAATGTGTGTGTGTGTGTGATGTTTTAGAGCCAAGAGACCAGACAGGAGGAGGCTTTTGGAATAGGCCTAGGGTCATAGATGTAGACATGGGAGGGCTTTCAGAAATTATCCAGGTGCAGCGAGGTGGTACAGTGGATAGAGCTCCTGCCTTGGAGTCAGGAGGACCTGAGTTCAAATCCGACCTCAGATACTTGACACTTACTGGCTATGTGACCCTGGGCAAGTCACTTAACCCTATTGCCTAGCAAAAAGAAACAAATACAAAAAGAAAGAAAGAAAGAAACCATCCAGTCTAATCCTTACTTATTTTATAGATGAGGAAATTGAGATTAAGTGACTTGCCCAACATCACACAAATATTACCTAGCAGAGGAAAAGCAGCATTATTTTCCACCATAGTACAGAGTTCAAGTTACAAAAATGAAGATCTGGTGGTGTCATCAGGACTGGAAAGGAGGGGATGAATATAAGAGATACTGCAGAAAGACTTAGAGAGTCATCCTTTGAGAGGCAAGATTTGCAGCCTAGACAAGGACAGGATGGTGGTGCCTTTAACATTCTCCAGTGTGAATATTGCCTCACTAGGCACCTGTCTTCTCCTCTTCTCCTCTCCCCTCTCTGGCAAGGGAGGCCAATTGAACTGCTGGTGTGTAGGCGGGCCAGGCAATGCCTGGGTAGGAGAAAGGTGACGAAGGAATATGGGTGACAGGGTGAGGAGTAGAGCTTGATTCAAAGCATGATAAAACAATTAAATTAACTTTGTAAAACAATTAATTCCAAAACTGATTTTGAAAACAATTATAATAAAAGTCTCAGTGCTTCTGGACTGCTATAATTTTTTCTTACTAATTTCATTGCTGTTTAGCTGACTGGTACTTAATTCCACTTGGAACAATGTTTTTAATTAAGTAAATTGTTTTTGAAACCACTGTTAGAACTCAGCAAAAGTGGCTTAAATTATCAATTTAGTTTTGTTTGTAAGCCAGGACTCAAGCTCTTCATTGCATTTAGTTCCCTCCTGCATGCCCATTTGCAAAGAGGCCCATTTTCATGGGATTTAAGAGTTAGAAGGGATCTTTGAGATCATCTATTCATCCTTTTGTAGATAAGAAAAATGTTCTGCTGAAGGTCAAGGCCATGCAGGAAATAAGTGGCAGAACTGAAATTCGGAAGAGCAGAACATAAGCTTATTGGGGGCAGGTACTTTTCCTTTCTGTGTCCCCAGCACCTAGCACAGTGCTTTGCAGATAGGAGGCACTTAATAAATGCTTGTTGACTTAAATTGTAGCTAGGTCTTCACACTCCCACATGCGTTGTTCTTTTCATGACATCATAATGAGTACTCTTATTTGTAGAGTGCATTAAAGTTTCCAAAGCACTTTACATAATGATCTCACTTGATGTTCATAATAACCCAGTGAATGAAATGCTCTGTTGCTGTGTTTACAGATGAGCAAAGTGAGGCAAAGCTTCTAACCCAAATTTTCCTGACTTCAGGTCCAGTGCTTTCTAGGTCACACCTAACATAACATCCAGCCATCCTGCTGCTCTATATTGCTGCAAAACTGAATAGACTGGACTAGATGCCTCTGGTGTTCCTGGCCCTTAAATTTAAGAACCCATGATGTAAATATTTGTGATGACAGTTTCTGTGACACCACTGTGCTTTCCTTCTTCTCATCGCTGTGGGCCTCCTGATTTCCCTTCACTCACCCTGATTGACTCCCTGTGTGGGTTAGATGAGTTTTCATCTTATCCTTTTAATTTCAGATTTCCCTGTGCCATTTCTTCTTCAACATCTCTGGGATACTTCTGTGGTACCCAATCCCATTCACACGCCTGCCAATACGCCTCGCCAAGGGCCTGGGAGATATCACAGCCACCTACCGTTGGTTCGCCATCTTCTACCTGATCTTCTTCTTTCTCCTGACGCCACTGGCCGTGTTTGGCCTCTCGCTGGCGGGTTGGCCTGTGTTGGTGGGTGTAGGAGCCCCCATCCTATTGGTATTGCTTGTGGTGCTGGTGATGCGGGTGCTCCAAGCCCGCTGTCCTCAGATTCTCCCTAAGAAGCTGCAAACCTGGGGCTTCTTGCCCCTGTGGATGCATTCTCTTCAGCCCTGGGATGGGCTGGTGTCTCTCCTCACGGGCAAGTGCTGCCAGCTGCCCTGCTGCTGGTGCTGTCGCGTCTGCTGTCGTGTCTGCTGCCGGACGTGCTGCCTGCTGTGCGGATGCCCCCGGTGCTGCCGCTGCAGTAAGTGCTGTGATCTGTTTGAAGATGAGGAGAACGTCAAGGAAATCCCCATCAAGGTTTCCGAGGTGTATGAGAATACAGCAGTCATAAATAAGGAGACCCAGCAGGGGGGCAAAGACATAAAGACCTTCTCTGGCAACACGGCTTTATAGCAGGATGGTGATTTCAGGGGAGAAAAGATGGATTATTTCTTGTTCTACATGCCCATTCTCCCTTGAAGCGTGGGCAGGGTAGGGGCAGATGGTTAGCTATCTATCCATTGGAAAAATGGAGTCACAGACATTTGGTATTCCTACCCTTCACCCCAGAACCCAAAGCATTGGCAGGTAGGGCTGACTCAGTATTGGCAGAAAAAGTGATCAAAGCACCATCCTTATAAGGGCCACAATTCTTTCTTACATGATTAGTGGCTCACTGAAAAGCCTCAGACAAGAACCATAGGATTTTTGCAAGTGAATCCTGACTAGGTCAGTTATTTACTCTCTCCAGAAACACTAGAGCCCCTGACCAACAGGATGTGTTTTAAATCCCTAAACAATTTTCAGAAGGAAAAAGCCTGTGGAAAGTATTCCATTGCTCAAATGTACAGTTTTACTTTTATTTTTAAGTAAGTGTGAGTTTGGTTGCTAAGGCACAGGGCTCTTCCTAGGAAAGACCTGACTGTAAATAGGAAATCAGTACTTCCCTGGCCCCACAAAGCTTGGCGGCAGGGCAGGCCTAGGTGAGAAGATGCCAGCCAGTGATACACCCAGCCCAGTCTTAGTAAGCCACATGTCCATCCATTCCCTGCTATATGGAGACTTGCAGGAAGGGGAAGGTTAAGGACTACGTTTTGTCTATAGCAAACTTAGGTGGACACCCTTCCCATGCCCAGGAGAAACTGCTGGTGGTCAGCAGCATGCACTGGTTAGTCAGGTAGGCTTGGGCTGCCTCCACAGGCTGACGACCATGATTCCCAATACCAAAGATGAATTCTAGGGAGGTAGAATTACTGTATATGCTCATGCCCCCTCTTTCCTGATCTTCCCCCCCTTACTCTCTCCACAGTTTCTCTTGGGCAGGCTATAACCCAGCCAAAGCCAGGCAATTTCTAGAACAAACCATGTTTCTGAAGGATAGTAATTTAATTAAGAAGCAAAAAAGGTTGCAGATGTGCTTTTGCATTTCTTACTATTGGAGGGATGCAAAGGTGGGCATGTTCCCAGGGCAGTTAGCACTTTAGTTGCTAATTGGTCAGCAGCTGAGACTTCTGCCATGAGTCATTTTCAATCGGGGATACTCCAGAAAGCCAGATTCATAAAGGTCAGTGCTAAGAACTGGTCCCACTCTGATAATCTAAGTGCCTCAGATGTCATGAGGAGGTTGGGCAGGTTATGACAGACTTTCTATGGTTAGGAAAGATCAGTTCCTCTGTCCATCTTGGGCGATTGCTAGCCTCTCAAACTCTGTGGGAATTGGCCTTGATATTTTGTGGACTAAGCGTTTTCTTCTGCCAGCCCCAGTGAATGGTTTGTGAGTTATGTCATGAAGTTTGTTTTGCCCTCAAATGGAGGGGGAACAGAATAAACTGAGCTGACTGCAGAATCAGAGGACCATCTTCAGAGGTCCTTCTCACCTTGGATAGTGCCTTGAGAACTGTGTCTGGCCTGATCCAGAGGGATTAGCCAGTGGATTAGCCTTTTAAGGAGGTGGGGTTGAAGGATTCTGAGGTGAATGGTCTTGCTGTTAGCCCTTCTTCTTTCTGGGTCCTTCCATTTCTCTGTCCCTTTCACAGAAAGGAAAATATCCCAGACGCATTCCTCAAAGGATGATGGTCTGGCTAGACAAAAAGTACCTTGTTTTAAGATATAACCTGTTAAAGACTAATCTGGAACCTCTTTCCAAATTGTCTTTCATTTGCCAGGAATGAGCTTTACCCATTTCCATCTCCTGTCCTCTTTGGCCCTTAAACTCCTGCTTCTTAAAAAGGCTAATTGCTGAGCATGTGACTGAAAAGGCTTGAGCTGAGGCTAATCCAGAAGGTTGAATTGACCAGTCACCCTCAGTCCCAGAGCCCCTTTTGATATATGTTATGTGCATGTGCACGTGGGTGGGGTCAGGGGGCCTGTACCTTTTAGCAGCTCAAATGCCCTCTCTTTGCCTTTCATGGGCCCTTCTTCTAAGAGAGAACAATCTTCACTTGCCTTTCTACCAGCCACATACATTTCTTCCCTCTAACACACCCTCTGTAATACTCCCACCTCATCCTGCTTAACTGGGCTCTACCAACAATTTCCCAGCTCCAAAGAGTATGTAGGAAAGGGGAATATAAGATGAGGAAGAAGAATGACTAGCCCATTTCACAACTCCCAGGTCATTTGGAGCCTTATCCTGACCTTCTACTATGTATATAACCCTTCTCAGACAGATATCAATGTGGTCTGTATGTATAGTCACTGAATTGTATAGCTTTATCATATTATATAGAAAATAACCTGTATGATTCTGGTTTTATATTGCTCACCTTTGGAAATAAGAAAGTGTTTATCTATGAAATATATACATACATACATACAGATATATATATATATATATATATATATACATACATATAAAAAGTCAACATAAGCAAAAACATTTGTATATTTTGCAATATCTTTTAAACTTGTCCACGCCACACTGTAAATACGTATGTTAAGCACCTCATTAGTTCCATTTGCACTTTGTATGCTTTTTTCCATTTGGATTATTCATGTGATCTGTGTACATGATATAATTTTCATATTTTTGGAAAGAAAAAATAATAAAAGATATTCAAACCCAAAGGGGATGCATTTTTGAAGGTTCCAGAATGGGTTACTTTAATTTACTCTAACATTTTCTTCTTATCCTTAAAAACTCTTCAAGATGCTTCTTTTTCTTATGAGCCCCTCTGCCCTTCACCCCTCTCCTCAATTAGCAAAAATAAGTGTCACATCAAGTATCCTGTCTGGAATCTGATCTAGAATCTTATGGCTAGAGTTAAGGGTCCACCCTGTGAGATCCTTTATTTTTTCTTATTCCAGTTCCTGGATCTAGAAGCCTGAAATTAATCTACATAATTATTGTTAGAAGGTATCATTTCTTGTACTTTTCTTTCTAACTGAATATTTCCAGGTTAAGGAGTTAGGTCAGAGAGCTGCCATCAGCTCAAGCCAGAAAGCATGAAGATGCCATTTAATTAGTTAGTATCCTGACAAGCATCATGTGACTGATTTCAAAATGGTGGTGGGATCTGACAGATGATGGGGCCAGAGGCTGCCGAGGGTTGAGATGCAAATGAAAACCTAGCCCTTTGGAAACTCCTAATTATCCTGTTCTTCTGTAGTCCACACTAATACAGAGGGGTACATTATAAAGTATCAACTTTGCCATTAGAAGATAAACTTGTGAATAAGTCACACTCGACAGTCTAGCCTGGGTGGCTGGCTTGGGGAACATACATTATGCTCTCAGGACATAAATTATGCCCTCTCATTTGGCTGGGGTTAATCAAAGAGGCTCAAAGTTTCTCTGGTGCCAGCCTGTTTGTGCTGAGATTAGAAGATTCTTCCTCCTCCCTTGGCAGGGAGAATCTCTCTTTGGGTAATACCATTTCTCCATGGCTGCACAACTGTGGCGTAGTAGAAAGAGTGCTGAACTTGAAGAAAGGAAATAGCAAACCTAGTGCTTATCCCCCAGGAGTTATTTTAAGAAAGGAATGAGAAATGCTATGTGAATATCAACTCTGGCAAATACTATATATCTACAGTTCTCCTCCTAGAGATTTAGTGAGATGGGGCACATAGAGTAATCAATTGGAGTTAGCAATACTCAGCCATATGAGGGAAGCAGAGAGACTTCAGATTTAAGAGGAGATGGGTTAAGGAAGAATAGAAACTTGTAGAGTGGATCCCAAAAGAGCCCAGAGAACTGGTTATAGATTGTGAAAGCCCCGGAGATAGTCCTGGCAATCTGAGAAGGCTGGGTTGGCAAACATGGCTACTCCTACCAGTGTACCGTTTTCTCAGCTTGCCTGGGATACAAGACAGATTCCAGACTATCTGAACACACTGTGAAAGTAGCTATCTTTTATCAGGAGCCACCTTGTACTTTTCAGTGTATCTTCCTTTAAATATTTTGTTTCCTCAGTGGTGGTTTAGGACTTCAGAACCAAGTTTTTAGGCAACCAGTAGTTATGATATCAGCAGAGACAAAAGAATACTTTTCTTTCTTTTTTAAAAATTAATTAATATATTTTTAGTTTTCAACATTCACTTCCACAAGATTTTGAGTTTTAAATTTTATCCTTCCCCCTCACCAAGGGGGCGTGCAATCTGATATAGGCTCTACATATACATTCATAGTAAACATATTTTCACATTACTCATGTTGTAAAGAATGAGAACCAGTGAGAGGAACTATGAGAAAGAAGACAACAACAATAAAAGAGAGAAAATAATACGCTTCCATCTGAATTCAAACTCCAGAGTTCTTTCTCTGGATGTGGATAGCATTTTCTATTATGAGTCTTTTGGAGTTGTCTTAGATCTTTGCATTGCTGAGAAGAGATAAGTCAATTAAAGTTAGTCATTGTGCAATGTGACTGTTACTGTGCACAATATTCTCCTGGTTCTGCTCTTTTCACTCACCATCAGACCATACAAGTCTTTCCAGGTTTTTCTAAAGTCTTCCTGCTCATCATTTCTTACAGCACAATAGTATTCCATTACATTCATATACCATAACTTGCTCAGCCATTCCCCAATTGATGGGCATCCTCTCAATTTCCAATTCTTTGCCACCACACAAAGAGCTGCTATAAATATTTTTATACATGTGGGTCCTTTTCCCATTTTTATGATCTCTTTGGGATACAGCCCTAGAAGTGCTATTGCTAGGTCAAAGGGTATGCACATTTTTATAGCCCTTTGGGCATAGTGCCAAATTGCTCTCCAAAATGGTTGGATCAGTTCACAACTCCACCAACTACATTAGTGTTCCAATTTCCCCACATCTTCTCCAACATTTATCATTTTCCTGTTTTGTCATGTTAGCCAATCTGACAGGTATGATGTGGTACCGCAGAGTTGTTTTGATTTGTTTTTCTGTGATCAATAGTAATTTAGAGCATTTTTTTCATATGACTATAGATAGCTTTAATTTCTTCCTCTGAAAACTGCCTGTTCACATCCTTTGACCATTTATCAATTGGGGAATGACTTGTAATCTTATAAATTTTACTTAATTCTGATACTTTTCAAAAGTAACTAGTCAAATACTTGTCCTTGACAAATTTATAATTTCAAGGAATACACCAAAAGAGTCAGAGAGCTCTTAAAGGACATACAGAACAGTGGACAAATGGAAGCTTTCAAGGAAGAGAAGAGAATGTCTACAGCTTAAAACATGGAGATTTTAGGGAGGTCTTCAAAGGACTGCCTTGAAAAGACTAGAAAATCTGGATATTTTGAAATACCTGGGAGGAAAGGAGGACCAGTGGGCTTTTGGCACCAACCTAACAGGCTCAGAGTCACATGGAATAAAAGCCAAATAGAGTGACGGGGCCAGAGAGACGATCCCTAAAATCCTAGTTGGGGAGAGAGGAAAGAGACAGGTGAGATACAAAGATGACTGTCAGTAATGATCTCCTGATTATTTACATAGAGTTCAAATTCCTCAAAAGCCAAAACTCATGATCAGCTGATTGTCAAAGGTACCATTAGCCAAGTCCATTTGTTTATATTATTGACAGCCTCCATGGAAAGTTTATCTGCAGTGTTTTGCTCAGACCACAGTTTGCATGAGTGTGTCAGCATTTTATAGGGCCCCCAATCTCTCCCCCTTGATCCAAGAAATGTGGAAATGTAGCATATTCCCAAAATAACTAAAGTACAAAGTAGAGGACAAAGGAAAAGTATGTCCTAAAGAATTCCTTTGGGGATTCTAGATCTTACCTCAAACATTCACCAGAAATCTTTGAAATCACAGCCTATCTTGGGGTATCTAGGTGGTGCAGTGGATAAAGCACCAGCCCTGGATTCAGGAGGATCTGAATTCACATCTGGCCTCAGATAGTTACTAGTTGTGTGACCCTGGGTAAGTCACTTAAATCCAACTGCCTCAAAAAAAATTGAAATAACAGCCTATCTTTTTAATATCAACAATCTTTCAGAGGCGTTGGATGGCTTCAGGTAATGGAATACTATAAAGTCTTCAAGAAAATAAGTTTGCAGGTCATCTCAAGGGTAGTAGAAAGGTACATGATGAATGTGAATAAGCTGAAACATATTACCAATGAAGAAGTGCTTCATTGGGATACACACAATATCAAGATATAGAGGAAGTCTCACAACAAAATGAGTGGATGGGGTGATGGATTGGGGAGTTATGGGAGGACACAGAAAAGAGCTGGACAAAATAAAAAGTCATGGATAGAATCCAATCTGCCCCACTTGAGGAAGTACCTACAGCAATGTGATAACAGAGCCATTGAAGTACAAATGTTAGCCATCAAAAGCACCACAAGAGATCCTCTAGTACCACCCTTTGGCTTTACAAATGAAGAAACTGAAGAATAGGGACAAGAAATTATTTGTCCAGGGTCCCTCACTGCATCCCTGGCCATCACCAGTAGTCCAGACCTATGTCATGCCACTGGACTCCAATGACACAAGAGAAGAGAGTAAGGATGATGACTTTGCACAGCCTTGCCTCATTTAAATCCAATTCACTTGCAAGTCAAGACATCACCCTCCTGATGTCATTGGTCCTCTTTGAGAATGAAGGACAAACAACAACAGTTGAAATTATATATCAGGGGACTAAAGGCCTCTAAACACTTATCACTCTCTTCTTTCACTTATCTCCTTCCCCTCCTATTTCCCTGTTGGGTAAGATAAATTTCTATGCTCAGCTAAGTGTGTGTGTGTGATATGTATACATACATACATATATATATATTCTATCCTCTTTGAACCAATTCCGGTAAGAGTGAAGTTAAAGAATTTCCCACCACCCTCTCCCTATTTTCCCCTCCACTATAAAAACTCTTCTTTGTGTACTTCTTTTATGTGAGATAATTTTCCCCATTTTACCTCTCCCTTTCCCCTTCTCCTAGTGTATCCCTCTTTCTTACTTCTTCACTTTTTTTGAGATCATCCCAACACAATCAATGCAATACCAAAGCACACCCATTCCCTCTGTCTATGTACACTCCTTCTAACTGCCCTCATAATGATAAAGTTCTTAAGAGTTACATGTATCCTCTTCCCATGTAGCAATGTTTTCCCGTGTAGGACTTCATCGAGTCCCTTATGATTTTTTTTTTCACATTTATCTTTTTATGCTTCTTTTGGGTCTTGAGTTTGAATGTCAGTGTTTCTGTTCAGCTCTGGTCTTTTCATCAGGAATGCTTGAAAGTCTTTTTCATTAAACATCCATTCCCTTCTCCCCCACCAAAGGATTATACTCAACATTTGCTGGGTAGCCACTGAATCAGAAGAGGCAGCAGCTGCTTCCAGTATTCTCTGCCCACAGAGGGTAAAGGGGTCAAACAGTTGGTCAGAAAGAGATTACAGGGATCTCTTTGACAGCACTGAGGCAGGCCTCTATTGCTTTGCCCCTACTCCGATCCAGCTTGCAGTCCTGGATGGCATTCCCAGGGTAAGGAGGAGAACACCACAGCTCGGGGCCACAGTGTAGCAGGAACCCTCATCATAGTTTCAGGGCAGAAAAGAGTACTTGTGGTCACTCACAGACTAGAGTGCAGGCCAAGAGAGTAGTAAACACAGCTCTTCTTAGCTCATACCACCTTGGAAGAAC